GGGGGGGGGGGGGGGGGGGGGGGGGGGGAAGGGTTTGGCGCGACGCCAGCCTGTACTCCACCACTTGTTGAGGAGGGAAGCGTCGACGGTAGAAGGAAAACGACCAATAACCATATAATAAAGATATTTTGTCCCAAGAACGAAAAAAAAGAAAAGAAACGGGCTGGCGCATTGCCACCCCCTTCCCTTGACACGCCCCATCATCAGCAGCGAACAGCCTTGTACTCTGAGAAATACCCATTATCTGCGTGCAAGCATTAATGGCCTGTTTTCAGCTTTCCATGATCACTGCAATGCCGGCAAAGGAGATCCCAACTGTCAGCAAGGAATCCTTCAGGTAGCGCATTTACAGAACAAGAAAAAAAAACTATTTTTGAGGAGCTGCACCATTTCAATTCCACCAGTAGATCAAATTGCTTTAGTGACGTAATTAGCTGGTTTGCAATTACGATCCAGGCTATTCTATGCACTAATTGCTATTCCAATTAAGACTGTGAACGTTAATCACAATTCCGCTATTGTATGTAAGTCCAACTAAGGAGACAATAAAAAATTGTTTCAGGGCATATGGAACTCAGATTTTTCTCTAGCAACTGCTATAAAGTATGATATTGACACGAATGAACCAGTGGACCTAGATCCACCAAGAAAGAGTTCTGATCAGGTAAAATTGTTTTGAAATTTGGCGGATACTTCTAGGACAGAAGATCTCATTTCAGAATATTACCACAATACCAGTCTTTGAATTTCCTAAACTCAAGGCAGAAGATCTGTTGCGCTCAATACAAGGACAAGTTAACCCTGCATTTGTCACTGAACCTCCTCAGGTCACTCATCAGCTTGGAGACAGTCTTTCTGAAAAGTGAATTTTTGAGAGCCACAAGATCACTTTAGACGTGATGCCTTCCATTTTCGATTTTTTTATATTTAATTGAATAAATATTGGTTTTTTTATGACTAGTTGCCATGGTGGCCGTCAAATTTATTGAGAGAACGCTATGTTCGCAGTGGTCTCTGTCCGGCCGTGAGGTGGTTACTGCTTAGCGAGGTTCTAGGTACGGTACAAGACCAACTTGGTGCTCGTTTAACATGCTGAAAGATCCAGTGAACAGACGCTTTGGTCCAACACTCGATCGCGCACTTAATTTGGTGGGACAGAAGGGCGGCGGGAAAGGAAGAGGGTATTTAGCACTTCCTCTACTTCCCGTCGACCGGTCGAGCCATTAACACGTTGACGACGAGCCGTTTTTTTCATGAATTGCCCGTGGGACGGCACGTTTTTCTTCGTAGAAACTTAGTAATTTTTGAATGAATGAATGGCTACGGTCGAAGTGTTTCAAGAAATGCAAAAGGTGAGAATACGAAACTTGATCTTCGTAACAATTTAGCTTTCATTGCTCCAGTCCTCCGAAATCAGTCCAATTTTTACCATGCTTTTCTCTGGAAGCAGATTTGGCTGAAAATTTGTCTCCTGGGGTACTTTGACCTTCTCAAGACGATATTACATCCCCTTGGCTCAAACTAAACTGTCCTGGCGCGCCGCTATA